ACGTCACTGTTACTTCATGGCAGAAAGAGCGATGGCTTACGCACATGGAGGCAGTATGTAACTTTTGGCGTGGAAGATGCTTTTGCCTGAGGGAGAGTCAAATCATGATCAGATGATCCAGTGGACTGACAGGTGAGCTGGGAATGAGGGGAGGAAGGGAGTTGGTGACTGCAGGCTTTATTCACCCTTCTCAGCCTCTTCTCTGTTTAAGACCACGTGCACAAATTAGCACTTGCCAGGAGGCTGCTTCCTACCAGAGTTAGGAAGCCACAGACAAAACACTTTGCTTCTTTGTGCCTCAGTTTACCTATCTAAAGAGTTAAGATGCTCCACTTTATATTTAGAGATCTGAATCTTCAGATCCTTCCTCCTTCACACGCAGACTTCCAACACATAGTCCTCAGACTCACTTCCACCTACTTCTCAGGAAGTCGAGTCCAGCTCCGTCACTCAACAATGTTTCTGGCTGCAAGTAACAGGAACCTTGAGGAAAACTAATGGAAATAAAGAAATGTCAGTCTTTCTTGCATAATGTGAATTCTAAGGAGAGGCATCTGCAGGCTTCTGAATTTCAGTGGGTTGATGTATCAGGCCCGTTGCCTCATGTTTCTTATCTGCTCCATTTTGACAGAGATCTGGCCACCACAGCTAGGAGCAAGCATAAGGGAGGGATGCTGTGAAAGGGTCGAGGAGCCTGAGGCAGCAGAGCTCTGTGTTCTCCTTCAGATGAACTAAAGCTCTCTCCCAACCTCACTATTAGACTCAAACTCAGCTCTCATTGGTTAGAATGATGTCACGTGACCAAGCCTAGGTTCATCCAAAAGGGAACACCTGGAAAGCTTAGTTACCATTGTTAGTGAAGTCTAGAAGATTAGTGAAGTCCACATGCCTGCATAGAAGGCCAGGCTGCTTTGTTTTAGGGTTAAGAAAAGTCATGTTTTCCAATTGCTTTGTACTGTTCTGTGAAATTTTTCAGACGAGAACCATCTTTTAAAATGGGGCCAAGAAGGGGAAACAGACTGTTGTCTTACTCTCAACCTAACTTTCAGTTCAGTAGATAATTCTCAGTTTATTGCCTGTTCAGCACAAAGTCCCGAGTCCCTTCCTAGGCAAACACTCCTGTCCTGAGGAAGATGAGATCAGCCCACAAATAGTGCTGGACGGAGCTGGGGGTCATCCTCCAGTTGTGGTTATGTGGTTTGCTGTGTGGCACTATGGGGTTCTACTCCACAGAGTTCAGCTTTGCTGAGGAGGCAAGCCAGAGAGAGACAAGGGACTTTATTTAGTATCCTCTCCAGTGTCTACCGCACTTTCCTTTATCCTTCCCATCTACCCTTCCCAGGATTTGCTGCTCTGTCATTGGCCTTTATGAGTTTAAGTAGGGAGTCCAAATCACAGAACCAAATTTCCGAAGGCGGAAGGCGGCACAGCTGTTAGAAGAGAACGCTTTGGGTTCTGGGCCATGGAGCAGTGTTTTGGAGGAGCATGAGAGCGGGCCTACACTCTCTACACCACTTTGAGGCCACCTAGTGAGAAATGTGTCGGTCATTTCATGGAATGCCAGCTGGCAGAAAAGAAACAAGCTACAGCTATACATAAACGGATACAAGACAGCATAGCCTGCAATGCCCTTATAGACCTTTTGGCATAACTCAAACCTGAACAAATTTGAGTAACATGTCTCAAGGTGTGTGTGTATGAATATATGTGTGTGTGTGTGTGTGTGTGTGTGTGTGTGTGTGTGTGTGTGTATGTGTGTATGGCAAAATACTTCTTAATAGTGATAAAAACAGGACAGTGGTAAATGAGAGATTGGGACATGTTAATTTTGAAAGGAAGTCAGGAGGACGGACCAGGAAGGTGACTGCTGGGAAATAGTCTACATCTGGTATTAGTTTTGTAGGGCTGCCTACAAAAGCATCATGACTCAGTGGCTTAAATAACAGAGCTTTATTGTCTCACAGTTTTGAAGACTGGAAGTTTCAAATCAAGATTGGTTCCTCTGAGGCTGTCAGAAGGGCTTTCCTTGTGTCTTTTTACCTCATCTTCTGTCTATGTGTGACTCCCTTTATGTTCATTCCCCCTTGCTATCAGGACCCCATTCCTATGAGGCTAGGTCAGACCCTGTGGTGGTTTGAATGAGAATGGCCCCCACAGGCACATATGTTTGATTGCTTGGCCCCTGGTTGGTGGAACTGTTTGGGAAGGATTAGGAGGCGTGGCCTTGTTGAAGAGGGTGTGTTGCTGGGGTGGGCTTTGATGTTTCCAAAGCTCACAGCAGGCCCAGTCTCACTAGCTTTCTCTGCTTCTGCTTGTGGGTCAGATGTAAGCATCCAACTACTGCTCCAGGTACCATACCTATCCACTGTTTTCTTTTATAATTTGCCTTGGTCATAGTATCTCTTCATGGTAATAGAAAAGCAACCAAGGTAGACCCTGAAATAATTACTAGGCTATGATACACCCTAAGGATTAGATCTTACCTTAACTAATTTTATGCACAATGATCTGGTTTTTAAGTAAGGTCACATACTGAGGGACGAGATATTAAGACAACAACACATGAATTTTAGGGGGCACAATTCCAACTGTAACACTAATGTTGAATTATAATTCTGCATTGGCATAAAGGGTTATAGGCACTGATTTTCCTATTAAAATAAAAGAGGACTGTGCTTGGACTAATGCTAATCTCCAACTAAGGAGTAACCCAGTCTATAGAATGGAGTTCTACATGAAAGAGGAAAAAAAAATTCCTGTTCAAATAGACTCGAGTCTCAGTGCAGCTGTTCGAATGGAGGTGGAATCAAGTCTGAGCTGGGGCTCTGAATTAGGGTGCCTGAATAAATATTGATGAGCAGTAGTTTTTGACGGAACAATTTCTTTTTGGCTTGTTGAGCAAGGAAATAATTTGTGTAAGTAGACTTCAAGGCAGAGCTGGTTTGCTATATATATAGAGAGAGCTTACCCTGTATGACCAAGGAGGAAATAGTAAAAAATTGTTCAAATTATCTTAATGTCTCTTCTGGGAAAGGTTGTACACAGGAAAAAACCCTTGCTTTATAAACCATCTACAGTCACTAATTCACTGAGTGTGACCTCAGCTAAGATTCAGTTTCCTCACACATAGAATGGGAATGTTAAATTTCACAAATTCCCAGGTATGCTGTTGACGTATATGCCGATTTTTGGTTGAAACAAAAATAAAACCACTGGATTGATCGAAACATAATTTAAAAACCTGATATAATTTTTCAGTTCAAATTTTAGAGTTTTGTCAGTCATCTTTGTTAAACTTTCTTAAAGACAATCAGCTGTCCCCTGAGCTTACCAGTGGGAGCAAATCTCCATTTAGAAAGAGACCACAATGCTGCTTATATACTTTTTTGAGCAAGGAGAATCCCGTTATTTCTGGGGAAGAGTGATGATTATGAGTGAGTAGCTGGGCTGGTCCCCTGTGGTCCATTCCTGAAGAATACACCTCACTCATTAAAGAGAGGGAGACTCAGAAAATGCCAGCAAACTCCACATTGAAAATGTTTGCATCCACTTAGTAATTTCTGCGTCTTTCAAGGAGAGCCATTTCCCCAAGCCCATGGGATTTCCCTCCTTTTTATACTGGCAGCTCTGTTTGGCCCGATAACTCAATCAGCCTGAGCTGACTACCCATCCCTTCTTGATGTGAGTGTTTTTGTTTAGATAAAAACAGTTCAATCCACATAAAGAGTTGAGATGATTAAAGATTTAAAAAGTTCAACACCAACTTTCAAGGAATTTTACAAGCTTTATGAGTATTTAAAAAAATACTGGCTGTGGGGTTGTCAGCCCCAGTTTATAAAGCTACAACACAATTCCTGTATCTAAGATTCAGCAGACCTTGAAGAAAAGGGGGAGGAAAGATCGTGAGAGCCAGAGGATCATCAAGTCTGTGGCGAGGATTGTGTTTTTCTTCTAGATATGACAGGGAAGCTATGCCCATAAAATCTCATCAAGCTGGTGGCCTAAACAAGACCCAAACATGTAAGAGCAGTTGACATCCCAAGTGAATGGAGGGAAATCTTCTAAGATCCCACTGCTAGATGAAGAGCTACAGGCAATTAATAACTGCTGAGAGAGAGAACGCACGAGAATATTAGTCTTCCCCAGGGATAAGCTCCTAATTGATTATCCATTACCAAGTGGTCATCAGCTCTGAAATCATATACATTCAGGCAACACTCAGTAGATTTTATGAGTGTGTGTATGTGTGTACATGTCTGTGTGTGTGTGTGTGTGTGTGTGTGTGTGTGTGTGTGTGATATGTGTGCGTGTAGCAATAACAATGAAAGAAAAAGAAGCCATTGATTTGAGAGGGACTGAAGTGGGAGGACATGGGATTAGAAGGAGGAGAGGGACAGGAAGAGATGATTTAATTTATATTTAAATTAAATACTAGATGGTATCATCTTGGATGGGGGCAACAAGCATTTTGCTCACTGCCAGATTGGGGAACTCAATAAATCCTCATGACTCAATAAGTAGCAGTTTTGACAGAGGCAATTATGGTTTAAAATTAAAGATGACAATGTAGTTATAAGTTAAATGTGTTTTTATTTTATGTGGTAACTTTTGTCTTTTAGTTCCTTATAGGTTTCTGTATTGTTGTGTATGTTATATGTTGTATGTATAACCTGCACTGCACACATGCCAGCTCTCCTAGTATGTCTGCCACGGCCTGTGCCTTTCAGTGTACCTCACACAGATCTACTTGGCATACCAGCAAGGCTTGAGTGGCCTCTAGCTCCATTTGTGCTTCATTCCAGATGTTTCTGTGATGGTCAGTTCAGTGTGCTCCAACTATCCTCACACAGGTGATGCCAAGAGCTTCTGGGTCCCAGCCCATGGCTTCTCAGTTGACATCAAGTCATAGATGAGGGCACCCAGCACAGACAAGCAGAAACTACCCATTGTGATTCATAGTGGGCTGCTAAAGCAGAGTGCCATAGACTGGATAGCTTAGAAACAACAGCAACTCATTTCTTACAATTCTGGAGGCCGAGAGATTCAAGTTCAAGGTGCCTGTGGATCCAGTATCCAGTGATGGTCCATATCTAACTTGATGATGACACCTCCTTGCTATGTTCCCACAGGAGAAAGAAAAGCAACTCCCCAAGGCCTTTCTTAAGGACACTAATCCCATTTGGAAAGACTTTGACCTCCGACTTAATCACCCCCCCTACCAAAGGCCCCCCTACCTCATAATTCCATCCCACTGGTGATTAGGGTTTCAATTTACAAATTTCAGGAGGATTCATTCAGACTCTACAAGGTGAGTTTGAGTAGTGAGGGATGGAGAATGGGGGGGGGTATCCCTCTAACATTTAAGGTGTCTTATCCTGTGATAGAGCTTATTCAGCCTTTAAAGCACAGTCCACAATATTGGGGTAGTCAGCTCAGTATTGTCTCACACTGGCTCTCCCGACCCTTCCTTGTTCTTTCTTGCCCCTTGTTCTGGCTCTCTGAGAGTAGACTTCCTACTAAATTACGCACACAAATTTTTACCTCAGGCTCTCAGGTTTTGGAAAACAGTCTAAGGCAATTCCTTGTGCTCCATGAAAGAGGCAGGTTCTGTCTCCAGTTTTTCTTTTCTCAGTTACCTGCTTTATCCTTCCTTTAATGGATTTGAGTGTTCCAGAAACTCTAAAATAATTCACTTGTGACAGGGCACTATTTGGAGATAAGAATTTGCATTTTTCTTCTTGCCTTGCCCCAATCCAAACTTTTCCACAAAAAGTGGAAGATAAGGATGTTTCATTTTCTGTTCTTAATTTAAAAATATTTTGAAGAGATCCAGCACCCTTTTAGGACATTGAGAACAGAGAATGTAATTAAGGAGAGAGGTAAATTTGCGCTGAGATACTAGGTAGAAGTAAAGCCCAGAAGCCACTGAGGATCACGGGAAGATCTAGGATTCCAGCCCTCTCTGTGTTCATCAACCTCAGCATAAGCTATTCTCTCTCAGGTGGTAGTCATATGAAACTCCTGTGCAGTCTGGTCTTCACACACTGGGGACAGCATGTCCTCTGCATTTCCTAGCTGAGACCAAATGCTTCTGTGGAATGCACAAAGAACAATGGCTATTCTGGTGGTATTCCACATGGAGCCAAACCAGGGATAGTCTTCTTGATATCTTGGCCTTAATGAAAGATTTTAGGGAGAAAGACCAAGAACCCCTGGGTAAATTCCAAAAATAAGATGAGTCCATTTCTTGCTGTTCTGTGTAGAACTAAGAAAATAAAGAAAATGGACATACATATTATCTTATTTCTGTAGACAGGGATTCAATTCTGTAATAAAACCTTTAATACTTGTTTAAATGTTGTAATGGACTAGATGCCCTAGATCTACACAAAAGCACTCTTGTGGCCTTGCTCAGACTTCCTGCTTTGTCTAAAGAGGTGTGGGCATTTAGCAGGGTGTCATCCACCCCATCAGCAGAGCCTCAAATGAAGTCGCTTGACTGGTTGAACTGTCCGTCTCCTGCTTGTAAGGACTAAAGGTCAGCTGAAGAAAGTAAAGACACAAAAAGGATCCATGAGAGTCGGTGACAGCCCAGCCAGGGAGTGAGCATTGTTGGAGTTGATGCTGTGTTACCGCCACTGACTGCTTCAGGTGGGTCTTGGGGGCCATCGCTTTGAAGGTCATTCTGGGCTGAAGAACTGGCATTTGGATGATTTTGTTTGTAATGAATTATTTCTCAGTGAATGGCTTTATGCCACCACTTGCTATTATTTTGATGAACAAAAGCCTGGGATGATGAAGGGCAGTATGTTCGGTGCGCCGTGTGCACGTGTGCAAGCACTCTGGCTCGTCATAAACAAAAGGCAGTTATTTCTCCAGGGACCCAGAGTGCCTGGAGTGCACTGCTGAAATAGGCTTATATTTCTAAAGATAGTGGGGCCCACGAAGAAACAATGGTACGGGATCTGCTGGCTTTTCTGACTCCAGTTGTTTTTCAAGAAATCCAAGAAATTACATTGCTGTGGCTTATGTAGAAAATCTAAATTACAAGGGCAAGCGCCCAAACAACACAGGGACCCATTCCTTCTCTTTGGCAGGGCTGACTTAGAACCGATGCTAGTGTAGAAAGTCCAGATTGACCATAAACGGTGGAAGAGAGGGATCAGAAGATGTTAATTAACTTTTAACATGCGTCTGTGTTGGGCCAGGTGCTACATCAGGATTTTTGCATTTATTATGTTACTCAATCTTCATTACTACTCAGAGACAGAGAGACACCCAGAGAGGGGGCATACTCAACCCCCTTTCGGTAGATGAAGTAATGAAGGCTACAGAGCTATACAATTAATAAGTCAGTCTTGCCTCGGTCAGCTATCTCCACATAGCCCACAGCTATAGAACCACAGGGTCATGCAACAGTAAGCATTTGCTTCTCTCTTGCTTACCCTGAGAAGACTGAAGTGACTTTGTTCCATGTGTTACATTCTGAGTCCCAGGTTGGAGGTGCCTGCTACCCAAACTCTTTCTTATCATGTTGATGGCAGATGTATCATGCCAGAGCATATTTGAAGTCCCACCTTGCATTCCAGCCACTCAGTTACGGCTGCACAGGTCAAGGCACAGGGCCATGAGAGAGTGGGGAAGTACATGCCACCCACTGAAAGGTTACAGCTGCTTGAGGATGAAACAGGTCAGTAAAGACTTGATGTCAATCATCTAATTCCCACGGTGAATACTGCAGACGATATTGCAGCATTAGTGTATCTCATTTTCAAGACCAAGTTCTTTAGCCGTGCAGAACACGGCACAGGAGACACCTCTACCTAAGGTTCTCTTGGCTCACAGAGAGTGCGGCTGGAGGTTGTGGATATACTGGAAGGCCACGTGTATAGTGTGCTGGGGCGTAGTCCATGACCCGCCTCTCCTCTCCCCTCAAACTCACTCTCCTGGCCATTTTCTTTGCTTCCATGGCTTCACTTGTCATCTCTGTGTAGACAGCTCTTGTCAGTCATATTCCAGCCTGAGGTGTGACCCTGTACTTTGCATACATTCATTTCTATTGGAATGTCCAACAGGTACCCCTAACTTGCTTCTGTATTCCTAACTCTCTTCTGTAAACACGTCATACCTCACTGAGATGCCTTTCCTCCCATCAGAAAGTGGTCACTACAGCCTTTCAGTCGACTCCTCTCTTCTCATGACCCAGAGCTGTTCCAATAGCAAACTCTGGCAGCACTAACTTGAAACTATTGCTGAAACCTAATCACTTCTTAAGAGCTCAATCCCTATTACCTTAGTCCAAATATCCATCACTTGGTGCCTGGACTATATTAACATCCTCTTAGCCAGACTTCCTGCATCTGTGCTTTGCTCACATACCCATTTCTACAGTAACCAGAGAGGTCATAGAGAATATAACTAGACCTGGACCTTGTTAAGGTTCTACTCAAATTCCTCAAGGCTTCTAGCTCACTGAGAGTGCAGAATAAAGTCATGGTACTGTCTGTAGCCGCTCTTCCCCTCTTTCTGACCTCATCTCCTCTCTCTCCCTCTCTTACTTCTTTGCAAGCATTGATCTCAAGACTCCCTTCTAATGCTCAAGCTTGCTCCCACCCTCGGCAACTGTCCTTTCTCCTAGGAAAGAGCTAACTCCATACATTTAAATGACTTTGTCCAAATGCCACCTCTACAGGAGATCTCAGGCCTGACTGGTTTATAGCATCTGTCTCCCTCAAAATTCTGCCAGTCCCCATTCCTTAATCTTTTTCGATTGGTTCATGCTAATTAGCACTCTCCACCCCACCCCACACTCTTTCTCTTTTTTCTTTTCTTTTCTTCTTCTTCTTCTTCTTCTTCTTCTTCTTCTTCTTCTTCTTCTTCTTCTTCTTCTTCTTCTTCTTCTTCTTCTTCTTCTAGCTTTCTAATTGTTTTCTTTCTAGAAAATCTGAAGAATTCTCCACTGAAGTCTCAGTGGAGAGAGGATCTTCAGTCTGCCTCATGCATTCCTAGGACCAGACTAATACCCAGAACACAGTGGGTGCTCCTTAAGTACTCACACAATGAGTGCTGGTGCAGACATTCAAATGTGAGGGTGTCCAGGAGGTTGCTAGCAGATGAAATTTAGAATAGAAGATTACTTCTAGAGTTAGAAAACTGGTTCCCAACTGCTGAGTGCTATTGGTTAAAGGGAAACGGACCAGAGACAGACTAATCACATTGTTCAAAATCCCCCTCTGGATCCAGGCTCTCCTTCCTCTGGCTGCTGGCCACTGGTAGGGTGGGATACGGAAGATTCAGACCTTGATCTATTCAAGGAGTTGCCCTTGCCCAAAGGCAGCTGCATCACTCAACATGTCACTTCTTTCTTAGGAACAATAGCACTTGATAATTAATCCAGTGGTATAAAGGCCTGGCCCTGTACCTCAGTTAGGGACAATACTGAAGAGTAACCTCCCAGGCTAGACTTTTGTCCCGCCATTCCTGCTCTGTCTTCACTGACCTACTTTCACTTCATTATTCCCCACAAAAGTGTTGCCTGCAAAGTTGCATCTCAGAAGACATTTTCACAGAACCCAAGCAAGGCAATGATTTCCTTTTGTTTTTAGTTACACCCATTCAAGCAACACTCAATAAATATCTACTATTGTCCCCGCACTGACACAGGCTCTGGGGCACACAGTGATAAGTACGGAAGAACTGGTTCATGTTTGCATGAGGCTTACTAGATGAGTAAGTCTGGAAAATACAATAACAGAGCAACGTAATAAAGACACAAAGGTGTAGGCCCAGGACACAGGGTTACCCACACTGCAAATGGCTAAGCAATATGGAGGCAAAGAATGTGCAGGCCACTATGGAAGAATGGTGAGATACAGAGTTGGGGGTGGGTTGGCATTTATTCCAAGATGAGTTAATGAGATGCTATAGTTAGTTTTTTATGGGGAGTCTTTCAAGACAGGGTTTCACTGTGTTCATGTAGCCCTAGCTGTCCTAGATTTCACTCTGTAGACTCGGCTGTCCTTGAATTCAGAGAGATCCACCTTCCTCTGCCTTCCCACTGCTGGGATTAAAGGCACCACTACCGGGTTTTTATTGTCAACTTGACACACCTAGAATCTCCTGGGAAGAGAATCTCAATGAAGGCCTGCCTAGATTGGCTTGGCTTGTGGGGATTGTCTTGATAATGTTCACTGAGGTAGAAGACCCACACACTGTGGGCAATACTACTCTGTGGGTTTGAATCCCAGACTGTAGGAGGGGAGAAAGTGATGATCAGGATCTACTGAGGGCACACAAATCTGGAAGGCTCTTGGCTGTTGCTTCTAGGATGTCTGTCGTCATATTGCTTTTATTGTATAAAAAACTATGCTTTCCTTTCTAGTACATTCTTTCTCTTCCAGTCTAGAGAGATATCCCAACGTTTCCTGGTTTCAGAGTTTGCCCCCATCATTGCCAGTGAGATACCCTTAAAGGCAGGAATGCACAGAGGGTAAATAATGAGAGACACTTCAGGAAGAAAAATAGGTGGGAATTGGTGTGTGTGTGTGTGTGTGTGTGTGTGTGTGTGTGTGTGAAAATATAATATATACTTCCTCCATACCTCAGAGAGACTTGAGTAAATATTTAAATTGCTTTTAAATGCTTATTGGAACATCAATTTTCGTCTTTTTGTAGGCTACTTTTCTGAGAGGAGCTTTGAGGAATCTGTTTCAGTGAGATTTAGTACCAGGAAAAAAGGGTTCTATGAGACCATTTAGACTGCCCTTTCTATATAAGAAATGAGAGCCAGTCTATGTTTGGGGGATACCCACCACATGCATGAATCTTCTGTGTCTTGTGGAGAAGACATGACCACAAACAACCTCAGAGCTGGTCCTCCAAACCCTCTGGGAGGCGTGTGCTGTCTCATCACCTAAATTTCCAGTGACCAGGCTGGATTATTTCAGAACATTTCTCTTTCTGTCAGGGATCCCTTGACCTCCATCCTTTTCTAAGTTCTGGGAGAAAATAGTCTTAGGCAGCCAGAAAACATGAAGCTTTTCTTTCTGTTTTATCTGAATTTGTGTGTGTGGCTCAGGTAAGCCTTGAGCTTGGGATCTTCCTGCCTCTCCTTCCTGAGTAGCTGCTGTTGCAGGCCCTGTGATATCAGGCCCAACTTTCAATCTTAATTCTTACATAAAAGTTTCTGCCTTCTCTCCAGATCCCCGTGGTGCTCCATTCCACATTCACTGGCTTTGCCTGCTTTCTCATCCCTAAGATGTCACCTTAGTAAGCTGTCAGGGACCCTCCTTTGTGCTGGACATTCACCTCAGCCCGGAGGTTGACCCTGACCCTAGCTTAGTCTTTAATGCATCTAATGCCACCTGACAAATGTCCCGAATGCAATTCTGTAATTTTGAAGACTGCTTAATCCTGGAATGTCCATCACTGAAGACTAGCAAATAAGGACTTTAGAGGAAAGGGCTTGTGCCTTTAATCTAGAACCTTCCATTCAGTGCTTGGTTAAGATTCCTATATCCCCAGAGCCAAATTCTTTTATCTGAATCAGTGGGACTACCAATGCCACTTCTAAGAATTGTGATCATCAAATTAAATATTACTGGTAAAGTATGAGGCCTCAATAAAATTATATAGCTGCTGTTGCCAGTGCT